CAGCCGGCGGTGTAGACCGGCTGGGCGGCCGATGACCTGAGCATGGTGCGCGCCGGGCAGGTCCTGTTCTCTGTGCTCTCGCGCTCCTGGGAGATTTGGCAAGGTCCGGGCTCTCCAGTCAGACGGTGTCTGAAGCCTACCTGCTCCCGGCCTTCATTTCTTCTCTTCAGGTCCTCGTCCAGCTCCTCCTTTTCCTTTTCCTCCTGACCAGAGCATCCTTCCTGACTCGGCCTCACCCACGGATACAGCCAGAGTAATGCGCTTCTCTGAAGACTGCGCCTCTCGGCTCCCCTTCTGTCAGCTTGAGCAGGGGCGTAGGGCACCGCAGGGCACTGTGCCAGCCTGCGTTTAGCAATCCTGGACGCCGAGTGTTCGGGCAGCACCCGAGACGCGGCAGCAGACTCCCCGAGGCTGTCGCCGTCCTGGGGCACAGCCCTCTTGGGAATCCCTCGAGTCCTGGCAAGGTTTGTTTTGGGGTCACACATGCTAGGGCTCCCATGCCAGGGCTGGATCTCTGGGACTCCCCTGCCAGGAGTTACCCCATTGGGATTTTTGCTTTTCCCTCTCCTTCTCTCGGCCTCCTTAGTCTCTTTCTTTTTTTTTTTTTTCAGCTTTGATTGAGTTTATTGGTACATTTTAGGGATACAGTACAGTTGCATTCATTGTTGGGATCTTGTACCTCTACATGACAAGTCTTGATTCTCATTTTTTCCCCTTACCTCTGCCCTCCCTTCACCCCCTCCTCCCCTCCCCATCTACAAACACTTTATTTTCATCTTTTCATTCTGTCACATTTTTTTCTTTTCCCTTTTTACTCTTCCCCTACCCATCCCACCTTCCCTACACCTTTAGCTCCTTTCTTGCCATTTCCAAATGTCACTAATCTTATTAGAATCTTATGCATTGTTGCAGATTATTTACACCAGGGAAACTATTCGGTATTTACACATGAGTGACTTATTTATTTCACTTAGGAGTATATCTTCAATATGTATCCATTTTCCTATGAATGAATCTATTTTCTCCTTCTTTATGGCTGAGTAATATTCCATTTTATAGAAAAAAATATGGAACGCTTCACGAATTTGCGTGTCATCCTTGCGCAGGGGCCAAGCTAATCTTCTCTGTATCGTTCCAATTTTAGTATATGTGCTGCCGAAGCGAGCACTTAGCCTCTTTCTTTACAGCCTCACCACCTCTTGGTTCCTCTCCCTGTAAATCTCTTGCTTCTTATCTCTGTGTTTGTCCAAGCCCCATGATTTGTTCCTCGTTTTTATTTATTTGGGAGTGCTGGGGATTGAACCCTGGGCCTTCACACTGAGCCACCCCCTCCCCCACCAGCCCTTTTTATTTTGTGTCAGTTTTTACTTTGAAGACAGGATCTTGTTAAATTGCCCAGCCTGGGTTTGAACTGTGGATCCGACGACCTCTGCCTTTTCAGGTGTACGCCACCACACCTGGTTTTCTCCATCTTCTTGCCTCTCTCTTCATCTCTGTCCCTCTCCACCAGTCTCTTCCCTGCTCTTCTTTTCCCCCTCTCACTTTCTTGGACTCTGCCTTTGTCATTCAAGGCTCTCAGTCTATGTCTATGTCTTAAATTTTCCTCCCTGGACCTCTCTGTCTTACATGTTCTTATTTTTTGTTTTTTCCCTTCCTTCCTTTTACAGTCTTAGTCTCTGTCTCTATTCATGTTTCTGCCTCCTCTGTATTTCATCTTTCCTCTACCATTTTTAACTTTTTATGTTAGTCCATGTTTTCAGGACCTAATGATTACATTCCTTGTGTGGAGCTGGTACACATACATAATCTATCTCTTTTTTCATCCCCTTCCCTCTCCCCTTTCTTTTAATTTTTGTGCCTTTCTTCATTCATGTCTATCTCTACCTGATTTTCTGTGCCAATTTCTGTTACACTTGAAGTTTTTCAGTCCCCCCAAGTCAAGCCCTTCTATTCTCGGACTAGGGGTTCCTCCCACCCATCCTTGCCATCCCCTCTGAGCTCCTAGTCCCTTCCCACCCTCCGTCTTCTCCTGCCCAGGTTTGGCATGTGGAGAATGAGGCTGGAAGGCTCCCCAGAGCTTAGGGAAGGGCGGAGACCCACCTTCAGGGTTCTGAGAGGGGAGCTGCACCCTCCTTTGCTGTCACCGCAAGTGCTTGAGAAGCACTTAACACATGCCTATAGTATGAATTTAAAATGCCGCCTAGGCCCAAGCCCTAGGGTGCAGCAGAGAGAGAGAGAGGACAGGTGCCTCCTGTCAGTCTGCCAGGCAGGGGCCAAAGGGCGGAGCTGCAGGGAAGCCAAGGACCTGGAGGTGCAGCTCTGGGATCCCTAGCAGCTAAGAGGCCAAAGCAAACAGGGGCCAAAGAAACCCCATATTGTTCCTGTTTTGCTCTGGCATTTCCTGCTGCAGCAGCTCCTCCTCCATCTCTTTCTTTTCTTTTTTTTTTAAATTTTCTCCATCTCTTTCTTAAGGCAAAAGGGCTGTCTGTCCTTTCTCCCGTGGGCCCCAAGGCCCTGCCCCCAACAGGGCATGGTGCTATATATAGGATTTTCTTCAGGGCCTGGGGCTCAGCTGCAAAAGAGCCCTGATCACCCCAGAGACTTCAGGGCCAGACTCCTTAACTGCTGAACTCGCTTTCACTCTGCACCCTTCCAGCTTTTTCTCCATCCTCCCTCCCAGCACTACCTTCTCTGAGTCCACAGATCTCCAGCTCCATCCTCTTGGTGTTCTCAGCAGGCTGAGCTACAGAGGGAAGCATCTACCTAAGGATTTCCAGCTAATGCAGGACTGCAAAGCCCAGCAACTTGTTTGTGCCATTTCATAGATTCAGAATGCAGTCTATACATTTATAGATCATAACGGATCTCTGCCGTGGGACTTAACTCCAAGCTACCTAGTGAGGCAACCAACTCAAAGGTTACTCGCCCAGGATCACACAGAGAGCCAAGATAGGAAGCACAGGTTGTGGTAGACCTGGTACCAGGAGTGGACCTGGCGAGACAAAGCCTAGGCCTGTGGGTGCCTCCTTTTCTCCAACCGTCTGATTCAGTCTGCTCACAGGTTGCTACAAGAAATTCTAGGACCTATTATGATCTGGAATTGTCTCTGCTGAGCGCTGCCAGCTCCAGAGCAATGTGTCCTCAGGATCTTCCCGGCTAGGAGAGCTAGAATCTCTCAGGAAGAGACCCAACCTCTCCTCTTCCGATAGAAGGGCCTTCAGATTCCCTGGGAGAAGCTGAGGGCTGGGGTAGAAATGGTAGGGCACTCAGTCTGTTTTCTGGCATCTGAACTTTATGATTTCCAAGTTGTGGAAGAAACAGCCTTTATTGATAGATAAATGAGCATTTACTGAGTGCTTAGTATATGCAGAGCACTGTGTTAGACAAGGACCAATGAGCGAAAGTAGACAGGAGAATGCCATCCATGAACCAGTAGGCGCCCTGTCCCAAGGGCTTACAATCTAGCTGGAAGACGTTGGATATGCACAAAAATCACAGCTCAAACATACAAAACATCAAAGGAACTTTTGCAGGTGTCAGATCATTTAGTACAAAGTGAGAGTGTGGAAGAGGGTGCTGGGGGTCCTGGTGATCAGCCACCTCTTCCTCTCGGCTCAGCCTTGCTCATCCCAGCTCAAGGATCTGCAGATCTGTCTCCATGTTGCCTCACCTCTGTCTGGTGTGGGTATGTTTGACCTCCCTGAGTGCCCTTCAAAGGCAGAAACCGGCCCTGTATACTTTGTCATTTCCTCCCTCTCTTGTCTCTACCAGGCTCTGTGTCTACTCGCAGACAGTGGCCTGGGTTGGACAGACCCAGCTGAGTGTTCTGGTTTCTCCCAGGAGCTCCCAGGAGAAACCTAGGACTTGCCTTAGGGAGAAGATCATGGGAGTTTGCATAAGAGGACCTGAGTTCAAGTCTTTGATCCGTACTGGCTTTGTGTTGATAGGCCAGTCTCTTAGCCTTGGTTTCTGAACCTATACGATAGGAAGAACAGTATCTAATCTACTTATTTCACAGGATTGGGAAGCAATCACAGGGATACTAAGGGAGTGCTTCAGAAATAGTAAAACTGCATGGCTGAGGGTCATTGTCCTTCCTGATTCTGAAGCACTTGGTACTGAGAGCTGCTCAGTAACTGTCAAGTTCCCTCACTTGGAATCCTGGTTCCTCTGATCTCAATCTAGGCAATAGGGGCTGGAAGTGCTGGAGAACCTCACATTTGGCTTTTGGTGAGATACAAGTTAGGAAGTGGTACAAACATGGAGAAAAATTCTTGGTGCCTTGTTTGTTAGGATGCAGTGGGGTGCAGATGAGGTTCCTTGCTGCCTTAGACCTTCTAGAACAAGGGAACTCAGCTACCAGGGGGAAGGGGGTTTGGAAGGGAGTGTCCTGCCCATGAGCTCTTCTAGAACAAGGGAACTCAGCTACCAGAGGGAAGGGGGTTTGGAAGGGAGTGTCCTGCCCACGGCAGCTGTGACCCAGCAAGCATTTTTCTAACTTCAAAAAGAGAGGAAAGAGCCGGCATGAGAAGAGCACAGCTGCCACAGAGATGTTCCTTAACGCAGTCTGTTTGTGAAGGAGGCCAAGGTGAGAAAGAGGCGCACAGTGGGTAAAAGTGTGAGAAACACAAAAGCCTTGGGCAACTGAAAACGTGGAGAGAGGGGCTTAAGGTGTGATCCTGGGCCAGTTGTGCAACAGGCTGGAGGGAGGGAGGGCCTGGATGGGTCTGGGTGGCGGGGGGAAGGAAGGGGAAGAACCGCTGGGGTGAGCTTGAGCTCATGAGAGGTTCAGAGGCTGGCCTGGGATAGGGCCGGCCAAACCATTTCCTTCTGCCTGAAGCTTGGGGCTCCCAGGGCTCTTCTCTGACCAACTAAAAGAGGTGAAGGAGGCTGAAGATCAGGCCCCTTCTGCATCCTTCTCTCATCCAAGGAAGCGGAAATAATGCGAATCACCCTAATTATGAATGCTAATGGTTCAAGAATTACTGTTCACCCAGCATCTTTACATGCATGGTCTCACTTAATCCTAGGTAATCTCATTTGAGAACCATTGCACTGGCCTGGAAACATAGAAACCTGGGTTCTAGACAAGTCGTTTCCTTTTCTGGTCTTCAGAGTCCACAATAAATGTTCAGTGTGGGAACCAGAAGGGGCGTCCAATTTAAGGGGACTCTGGTTCTACCCCCAAGAGGGAGGGAACAGAGAGTTCTGGGGAGGAGGATGCTGAGGGAGGAGTGGGACGGGACGGTGGCTGCTGCCTGGTACCGTGGTTGCATGCCTGAGTGCCTTGCCCAGCCAGCCATAGGCGTGGGGTGCAAAAGGCTCGCTTGCGAAACCAAGTGTCTCCTTTCAAGAAGTGTCTAGTTGCAAACCTCCCCCTCTTGAAGACAAAGGCCAGGGGCCCACAAAGGGCTTTAGTTTTCTCCACCCAAGAAGAAGGCTAATCTCTGGGTCTGTCCCCTCACGCCAGATGGGCATCTTGTGTGGGAGCATTTGTGAACGTGTCTGTGTGCATGCACACACATGCAGCTGTGTACACACATATGCCCACACATTCCCCTTTGAAGAGTCCTCCCTAAGGGCAGAAAGGGAATCCTCTCAGCCCTCCTTTTTCCAAAGGCTGTTTCTGGGGGAGCTGTTTTCTGGTTGATACTTCTCCACTTCCAGCAATGCATGAGGGCAAGTCGCTAGGCCCAGTGCTGCAGCGTAGGGGAATTTTCCATAAGGGGTTGGAAATCAGGGCCTTCCCTTCAGATTCTCTTTTCCTCTTCTGGGATGGAGTGGCTCGGAGGATTCATCCACTGCAGAAGAAGCGGATTTATTCCAGGTGTGGGAGGATGGGATCAAAGGGGGTAGTGAGAGTCCCAGCCTTGCACACTTACACCACCGTAGGCATGCCATTTCACACTCAGACACATGCGAACCCCTCACTGGAGGACAGAGGAAAGTAGGGATGAATTTATATTTGTACATTAGCAAAATGGCATGCACCGTTCCCAGATCTGACCCTTAAGGCGGGGGTCTGAACACTTCTCACCCAAGTACCTGGGTGCAGGCTCTCAGAGCTTCCTCTCCCTCCCCGCTGCCCTCCCTCCCTCCCCAGCTCCTCGAAGTCCTGAGTTCCCTGTCAAAGACCAGAGGATCAGCACTACAGCAGTGCACAGCGCAGTGCACAGCCTCGAGCAGGGAACTGTCAGGCTCTCTGCTGTTCCCCAGGCCCCATTCCTGCTGCCCCGCAGCGCTGGCTGCCTACGCTGGGAGCCAGCCTTGGAACTAGGGAGGGAAGGGACAGGCTGGGCTTTCCGACCCAGTGGGCTGCGCCGCCTGCCTTCGAGGCCCAGCAGCGGCGGTTCAGGCTTTGCTGCCACGTGGCAGGCTCTCAGGTGAGTGCAACTCCACAGACTGCCGCCGCCGCACCTCACGCTCCTCCCAGTCGGTGTCGGGCTCCAGGCCCTTCAGCACCGCCAGGCGCTCGGACAGGCTCTTGGCCGAGGGGAACAGCGCATAGTTGTAGAGGAGAGAGCCCAGGATGGCGCCGGCCAGGGGTCCGATCCAGAAGACCTGGGGAGAGCAAAGACAGCTTTGGCACCGAGCAACCAGGCCGCAGGCGCCTTCTGGGGTCCGGGGCCAGCTCATCTCCCCGCTGCATGTGGGAAAGGGGTTTCCCATGCGACTGATACAGTACTTGTTGATGTAGTTAGCAATGGCGACATGAGCTACTGAGGTTGACTTGTTAGTGTGGAGGACAAGGGAGCGAATTCTGAGCCTTTCACTTGCTGTGTGAGCCTGGTGCTTACCTCTGTGCCTGTTTCCTTTCACTCGAAGAATGCCTACCTCCTAGGGTCGCGAAAACTAAATGAGTGATGTTTGCCAAGCATTTGGAGCAGAGCCTAGCGCACACCAAGCACAAGGTAAGTGTTAAGTAATAAAAGCATGTTAACTGCTATAAATATTACGGTTCACTGAGCTCTAAGTGGCGGGCGCTGTGGTACATATTTTACATGGTAATCCCACATAATTTTCCCAAGAAGCTAGTAAGGTAAGAAATGCTGTCATCCTCATTTACAGCTGGGGACAGGAAGAGGACCGGAGTCTTTGGCACTGGTGCTCAAGGATGAAACCCAAGGCCTAACAGGATGAGGAGGATGGAGCTGCTGAGTGCCTTGCCCAGTCTATTGCAGCCCTCATTCTCCCTCTGAGATGGATTTTTAGGGAAGGGGAAAACAGGGGTTTCAGCCATTACCCAGTGGTCATCAAACTTGCCGGTGATGACAGCTGGAGCTAGTGAGCGGGCAGGATTCATAGAGCAGCCAGTGTAGTACATCTGCGATGGGAAGTGAGGGTCAAAGAGAAAAAGGAGGTGAGGACAGGGCAGGGAGTCCTTGTCCCCCCTCTCTCATGCTTGACCTTAACCTAAAGGCAATCCGTGTGATGGGCTACTGACCTCATAATTTAATTACCAAGCTCCTAATACATTTGGGGCTGGAGTGGTATCTGTTTGTCCCTCTGGGATACCTGGGAGTCAGCACCTCTGGGTTGTGTGTCCCTCCTGGGTGTTTTGTGTATCTGTCTCTCTGAGAGTCTTTCGGTCTACCGCTTTGGGGAGTTCCATGTGTATGTCTCTAGCATGGCCTATGTTTCTGTGTCTTTGATGAAGATCCCTGTGTCTGTCCCTCAAGGGAAGCTGGAACCCAGGTCCATGACCTTACCCCAAGAAGATGGCCCAGGGTCACAGAGAAACCAATGGAGAGGGCTGGGCTGCCCAGGTTGTCCCCACGGCGTTCGTCCGTAGAGGCAAAGATGCAGAGCACCAGCTGCAGAGTCAGGAAGAGCTCCACAGTCACTGCCTGGCCAGCTGTTGTGTTGTGGTTGAGCTGGGGACAGAGAAGGGATGGGGGGGCTACACTGATCATGCGGTTGGCTTTATTCTCCTGCCCACCTACAGTCAGCTCCAGGGAGCTGGGCTGGAGCCAGAACATCTGAGCTCACCAGGCACCCTATCTGGCACTCCTGCCGACTTCTTTCTGAGGGACCCCAGGATGGCCTAGGGCCTCCAGCCAGAGATAGAAAAACCGGCTCCTTAGCCATTGGATCTGGGGGCTGAGGTTGTGTGCTCACATCATGGGAGGAAGAAGGCGCTTCTATCCCCAATTTCAGTTCTGAAGAGGTTTCAACTCCATCAGGAAGATAACAGAAAGGGCTTCCTTCCTCTAGGCCACAAGGCACAAAAGTGAGAGCCCAGGGGTCTTTTTTCCTGTGGTCAAATGGTTCCCAGGGACAGGGTTTAGGGACTGGGGTGTGAGGGATGGCCTGGAATGCCCCCAGCTCCATGAGTACAGCATACAACACTTCCCCTCATACTTGCTGCTCCCCACAGCATTCCAGGCCTCCCCTAGTTTTGCCCTGTGGTTTGCTCACTGCAGTCCTGTAGAGGTTGGGTTAGGGGAGGAGAGTGCTGGACTGTGCTGCCTCCAGCCCAAGTGGGGTGCCTTGGTCCCAGCAGACCCTGCCCTGGGTAGGGAGAGAACTCAGGGCTTCACAAAGAGGCAGTTTCATAACTGGGCCACACCTAGCACAGGATGTCTCTCTGGGTTTTGTCATCTTGTACCCTACACCCTGCCCTCTGGGGCAGGTTGGAGCTGAGACACTTTAACTCCCATGCTCCTTCTCCAGGCCCTGAACCCCCACCTAGACATTAGGCTGGCACCCTTAGATCTTTCTAGGCTTGAGCTCCATCCCTCCTGCTGCTGTCCAGGTCAGAGCCTCTAAGGGACAGCGAAAGGAGCTTTGGAGGCAGATACTTTGAAGGTCTCTGATTTGCTGTGGGACCCTACTTACTTTGGTCTCAGGTTCTCTCTCTCTAAAATGGGTTAACAAAACAGATTCTGGAGGGGTGTGTGAAGCCTAGAAATAGCAAGGGCAGTCACAGCCCCATTCCTGTTGGTAGGCGGCTGCTCAGAGGGAACAGTATGTACATGCCTTATTGCTTCTGCAATTTGGATCTATTGAATGCTGAGCCTCAACCTACCACTCAGGATGGGAGAACAACAGAATTCACCTCATAGGCTTTTCTGAGGGTGAGATAGTGCCCGGCCTGGCACAGGGCAGATGGGCATCCATGGCAACTTTCTGGTGACCAGACTGACTCTGAGCATCTCAGAGGACACCTGGGACAGCCTTGGGGGTCATCTGGCTTTCCTTAGCCTCAGGGGAAGTCAGCCCCACCGCTGCTCCATTCTAGCCAAGCAGGGTTCTCTTCAGTTCTTTGGATGATAAATGCTCAGGACCAGGTTGGAGGAGGCTTTCCAGAGCCTGCCCGTCCGAGGGCCCTGGTTCCCTGAAAAGTGATGGAGGAGCAGAACTGAGTATTCTCCAGGGCTTCTTTGTGCTCCAAGTACCCTAATACTAGAGAAGGGATTTCTTGGCCATGCTCTCCAGAGGTTCCTGTTTTCTAGCTGGGCATCTCCCTGCTGCAAAATGAACTCATTTTGTTTCAAATGGAAATGGGCTCAGTTCACCACCTTGCCCATGCTAACCTTTTTTTCCCCCTGTGTTCTCAGCCTCATATCTTCCATATATATAATCTTCCATATTTTAAAGAAGGAAGAAGTTCCCCTACTGGCAAACTCTGCCTCTTACACAAGGAAGGCCACTTGTACAGAGGAGAGGACAACCATAGAGATGGTGCAGGACTCTTCAGAGACATCAGGGCCCAGGCACAGAGCAGGCCAGGCAATTTGGGAGCTGGAACTATGAAGGAGGCACTTGCTGTCCTGGCTTGATGGGGGTGCAGTGTGAGAGCTGTGATGAGAAGACCAAGTCCCCCAAGCCCTCCGATTTCCTGCACAGACCCAGGACAAGGGTCACAGCATCACCTTCGGCTCCTGAAGTACCTAAGCTGTCTGACTAGCCATGGTATCCTATAGTCAGCAGCCAACCTACAGGCTCCTGGGCCCTTTTCCAGGGACTGAGGAGACCCATCCTCTAGGTTCTGGTGTTTTCTCTCATATTGACAAACTGCAAAGCTTTTGGCCCATCACCTTTCATCCCACAGTCTGTTTTATACTTGCAAACAAGTCTGAGATGATGGCTCAGGAGGAATAAGCTCAGGTTTTGTAGTCAAGCCTGGGTTTGGGGCCCACTGGTGGTGGAGCCTCGGTTCTCACACGCCTATCTCTACCTCTCAGGGCCGTTTTGAGGCGTCAGGTTTGAGGAGTGGCTGTCCTAGGGCCCCCATATAGGAGAAGCTGAAGAAACATTCAATTCCCCTTCTCTCTAGAAGACCCTTGCAGTCGCACTCTGAGGCCCCCTGGCTCAGAAGGTCTGTCTGCTCTGGGACACTGTCCCCTGTGAGGTCTGACCCAGTCCTCACTGTAGTACAAGCAGCGAGTCCAGCGGAAACCTTGATGCACTCTTCCTCCTTGAATTTTGGGCACAAGGCCCAGTTCCTCTGCTCTTACCCTGTCTCTGCTCAGACACCACGGTCCCAGCTACCCTGATTCTCCTTAGACTGCTGTGTCTGGCTCCAGTCTCTGTCTCTGCCTATCTCTGCCTCTCCACCCAGAGTCAGTCTCCCCCATCTCATCCTTTACGTGTTTCCCCAGGACCAGCCCTTTGTGGAAGGAACAAAGTTCTGGCTACTCACAGCATTGATGGCCAGGTCCCCACGGATTTCTGCTGGTGTGATCTCATGGAGCAGAGCAGCCCCTGCTACTGCTCCAAGAAGCTGGGCCGCCACATAGAAGACGGCTCGGAGGAAAGAGACATGGCAGCCCACCAGGAAGGCCACAGTCACGGCCGGGTTGATGTGGGCCCCGCTGACATGGCCTAGAGCCTGCACCAGGGTGCCAATGCCAAGGCCAAAGGCCATGGCGATCTGCAGCACAGAGGGCAGGGCCTGCGGCCAGTGGAAAGCCGAGCCCAGGCCAAAGAAGACGAAGAGGAGCGTGGCCAGGAATTCTGCCAACACAGCTCTGGTGAAGGCTATGGACCGGAGTTCCCACATGCTGGGGAGCCTTCCTTGGACTGGCCCAGCGGGCTGGGGCCCGGAGGTTTGTGGTGTACTCTCTCTCTCTCTCTCTCTCTCTCTCTCTCTCTCTCTTTCTGTGGGCCTCTGGGAGGCTGGGCCATGGACACTTATAGGGTCCTTCCGTCCTGGATTTGGCGCACGTGGGTTGGAGGTGGAGTTTAGGCCAGTACGTCTTCTCCCCCATGGCTCCCTCCGTCGCTGCCCCTCACCCCTGCCCACCTGCATGCCTATCACCCCATCTGAGCCTTCACAGCTGACTAATGTTCCCCATTAATGAACTCCAGATAAGGACTGACGTCCCCTATTTTCCGTGTTTATTCCCTCGGTTGCCCCAGAGCTGCTGCCCAGGGCCTCCCTCACCCCCATCTGCAAACGCAAATCCTCTGGAGGGGAACACACTTGGTGCCCCTCTCTCTGACCCAAACTGTTGGTCAAGGCTGGAGCAACAGGTCTTTCAGCCCTGACCATCAGAGACAATGTTACCCTTCTGGCGATTGGGAAATTCTTCCCTCTGTCTGACCTCAAATTAATTCCTTCTTGAAGGGGATGGAAAACAACCAGTTGACTTGTAACAAATTTCTAAGGCATAAAGCATTCCCGTTTCATGCTTACTTTCTCATAGTTAATCACTCGTAAGTCATTAAACTTCCCTCCCTCCTGGAGCCCATCTGGTAGTAGCTCCACAGCCTTGGGGTAGGGGTAGCTTCAGTGGCTCTGGGACCCTGGCCCTGGACTTCCCTTCCCTTGCTCCAAGTCTGAGACTTTATCTTTCTTATCTCTCTCTCTCTCTCTCTCTTTTTTTTTGGGGGGGGTACCAGGGATCGAACTCGGGACCTTGTGCTTGTGAGGCAGGTGGTGGCACCACTGAGTCAAATCCCCAACCCTTCTTGTCTCTGCAAAGTGGGGATAATAAAACCTAGCTCACAGGATCGGGGTTAAATGTGATCATGGATGCAAAGCCCTCAGAGCAGCATCCGGCTCACAGTGCAGTCCTGTCAGGTGTCACTCACAGAATCGTCTGTGCTCAGCAGAGGACAGGGCCCCAAACTCACCTGTCAGGTTTCCAGAAGCCATGATATGGCCTGACCATCTAGGCATGACCAGGAGCATGGAGCCTCTCCGGCCACAGGGGGAAGTCATTTCTGTGAAGCAGTGAGCTGTGTAGGCCCAGGGAGTCCGTGAGGCCTGATAAGAGATTCTTTGGCCTTGGTGACCACTCGGCCCAGCCATTGTCCAGGCAAGGCCACCCCTGGTGTGACCACTTTTCTCTATATCCTTCAGCCCTACTCCTGTTTGGGGGAACCCAGTGGGACCAGAGAGTGCTGATTCTTGACCTCCTGGCCAGTAGGTCCCTGGGAAATTCACAATAACAAGAACGAAAATCTGGGAGGGATTAGAAACTGTGGAATGGAGTCCCTTGTGTTGAGTTGTGGGGGAAAAACTGAGTCTCAGGGAAGGGCGGTGACTTATCCAAGGAGTCCAGCAAGTTGGAGGCTGAGCTGAGACTGGAACCTGGTTTGAAGAGCTTCCAGCACTCTCCACTGCCAAGTCACACTTTAAGCCTCAGTTTCCTCATCTGACCAATGGTAGCAATGATGCCCTCTCTGACCAGTTGTCTTCAGAACACAGTAAGATCACGAATGGGAAAGTGTTTTGCAGCTGAAAATGTATCCCACACACCTGTGTATACAGGGGCCTGCAGGTCCTGCTATTGAGGAGAAAAAGGAGTGGCGGGAGAAACAACACATGACCCCAGCAGAAGGGGACTCCAAAGGACAAGGACTCTTGTGGGTTTGTGCCTAGGACAGGGCCTGGCATACAGCGATCTGGTGCTGTGGTCCTACACCCTGAGCCTCCCTTTCCCAACCTAAGGCACCCCAAATGCTCAAGGGAAAGACGCAGGGGAGAAGGTGGCCAAATCTTGTCTGGCGAAGGTGTGTCTGGAACCCATGTCTAGACCCTGCATGCAGAAAGGGACAAAGATCCAGGTGGTCGAGCTTTGCTGTGCCTCTGTCCTCACCCAGGGAATTTGCCTTGCCACTGTCTCCATGCATGGATTCAGGAATCACTTCTACCTCTCGCTAAATTGTAGCCTGGGCCTTGGGCCTTCCTGGAAAACCCTCCCTTTGGGCCAGCATGAGCTGAAGTTGTGACACTCATTTTTAAACCCACTCTCACCCTCTGGGCTTCTGTGTGTCCTTTCTGGCCAAGGGGTTCACGAACTTGAAGTGTGGCTCAATGGCCCTTCGCTCTGAGTGGGATTGCCTCTAGCCCATTCATCTCTTGCGGCTTCCCAAGTCTGTGTGTGTTTATGGTATGTGTGTGTATGGCCATTCAGTCACACAATCATACATTAGGAAGTACGGGGGAAGTGTGCGGCTCCACGGTAGAATACATCGTGCTGGAGTCCCTGGGTTCAATCTCCAGCACTGCAATAATAAAAAAACCTCGTACTGTCTCACTCCACAAATGAGAATGCGAAGTCTGGAGAGAGGTGATTTCCACAGTGCCACCGTACGTTCAGGCCGTTCTGGTCTGGCTTCAAGCCTGGTGGTGGAGTAGGGGCCAGCCATGACCGGGTCCCTCAGTGCTTTGCACTCAGCTCTCTGTCAGTGCCAGCGAGGAAGAAAGTGCTCCTGTCACAGCCAGGGGCCTCCTGCTGTGCTCTGGGTGGGCAGCAGGGCTCCCCCGAGGGGGCAGCTACATTTTGTCCACAGTGACGGGAAGGAGACAACTACACATCTCTCGTGCTGTCCTAATTAGAGTATGACAAATGCCTTCTGGGAAGGGGATGCACCCCAGTGTGAATTACCTAATACCAAGGAATTGTGCGTTTAAAAACAGTTAAGACAATGAGGCATAGGGACAACACCTGTAATCACAGCTACTCTGGAGACTGAGGCAGGAAGATCATGAATTCCAGGGCAGCCTGGGTAACTTCGTGGGACCCTATCTCAAGATAAAATAAAAAGGGATGAAGGGGTGAAGGGAGGACAGGGACAAGGGGAAAAAATGAGAACCAAGACCTGTCATGTAAAGGTACAAGATCCCAATGATGAATGTAACTGTACTGTATCCCTAAAATGTACCAATAAACTCAATGAGGAAGAAAAAATAGGGATGTAGGTATAACTCAGTGAGAGTGAGGCCCTGGGTTCAATCTCCAGTAAAGGGATGAAGGGGTGAAGGGAGGACAGGGACAAGGGGAAAAAATGAGAACCAAGACCTGTCATGTAAAGGTACAAGATCCATATGATGAATGTAACTGTACTGTATCCCTAAAATGTACCAATAAACTCAATGAGGAAGAAAAAATAGGGATGTAGGTATAACTCAGTGGGAGTGAGGCCCTGGGTTCAATCTCCAGTAACACACACACACACACACACACACACACACACACACACACAAATAAATAAAATACATTAAGTAAACAAGAAATTATTAAGATGGCAATTTTATGCTATGTGTATTTGACCACAATTAAAAGTAGTATTTTTTTTAAAAGTCAGACAAGGAAGATGGCCAAAGGTAGGCGCCCGCTCTCTCTCTCACTCTCGCTCTTTGAGACGGGGTGCTATGTGGTTCAAGCACAGTGTAGCCTAGGCTGGCCTCAAATTCATGGTGATCCTCCTGCCTCAGCCTCTCAAGTGCTGGGACTACAGGCGTGCGCCACCACGCCCAGTGGGCTCTCTTACAGTGAGCATTTTTAAAATATTTATTGATTTACTTAGATAATCAATTTTTCAAGTCAAAATTATTCATATGCATAAAAATGAAGTCACAGACCAAAGAAATTGACCAAAATGATCCCCAAATGTCATCACATTCAGAATTCCACTCTCCTGAACCCCTTCTTGACTCAGATGTTTACCTACAGACTTCTGCAGTATCTGGAGCATTGGTGATGCTTTCCAAGCTCCAGATACTCATTCTGTAAGCTTTCCTGCAGGGGTTTTCTTTCTTCATGTGTGACCAGTGATCATTTTGTTCTTTTCTCACTAATAAAACAGCACGACACAACTTCATCTCCTTGGCTCTTCCTTTCTTAGGTCCCATAAACTCTTGCCTGTTATTTTTCAAGAAAATAAAGAATTGTGGTCATTCTTTAATGTCAACTGCATGCTTCACTAATATCAAATTCTTGCTGTGGTCCTCTGTTTACATGTCTTTCTGGATACACAATAGCTTTGTGTAAATGCTAAACCACAGTGTAACCTTTTTGAAGACATTTCCAACGGCAATTAAACTGAACCTATGTAGGAAAGAGAATGCACTTGGCACCCACCTGACTAAGCTGAGGCTTGTACAGGAAGTGGCAACCATTCCCAGAGGTGGATGTCATAACAGCAAGAGAAGTTACAATGAGAAAACATGGGGCACCTGAGGACTTACGTAATGTGACAGCTATTATATTAAATGTGTGCTTAGTGTCACTGTGTGCGCTGTTCTAGGCATTTTTTTTTTGTCAGTGCTGGAGATTGATCCTGGGGTCCTTGCATTGAGCTACCTCCTCAGACCTTTTTTTTTTTTTTTTTTTTTTTTTTTTTTGTACCAGGGATTGAACACGGGTCCTTGTGCTTGAGAGGCAGGTGCTGGAAACACTGAGCTAAATTCCTGGTCCCGCGCACCTTTTTAATACTTTAAATTTTGAGACAAGGTCTCCCTAAGTTGCTAATTTGCCTAGGCTGAGCTCAAACTTTCCATCTTCCTACCTCATTCTTGCACAGTTTGCTCTTTCAGATCCTCACAGCCAGCTGGATGTGGAGGCGTGTACCTGTAACTCTAGCACTCTGAGAGGCCAAGGCAGAAGGTTTGCAAGTTTGAGCCCACCATGGGTGACTTTAATCTCAAAATTTTAAAATATAATGTTAAAAATAAAGGCTGGGACTATAGCTCAATGTGAAGGCCCTGAGCTCAATCCCCAGTACTACACACACACACACACACACACACACACACACATCCTCATAGTCACCTTGTACATCTAAAAGTTATCATCCCAGATTTTAAAGATAAGGAAAATGAGGCAGAAAAAAGTTAAGCAATTTTCCTGAGGTCACATAGTAAGTGAGAAGGCAGAATTGGA